TGTAATATTATGACTTATTTATATTCATGGTCATGCACTTCTTACGACTAGAGCAAAATAGGTATAGAGTTGCCATGGATTCTTACAGTATTGTATACTGCGTCATATACATCTGGACGAGCATGCCCTACGTTTGCGGCACTAGTACAAAGCCATTTTTCTCATTCTTTCATTTCAAATTTTACATGAAAAATTCGAGAACCAGGAACTACGAAATTAGCAAGGTCGGACTGACAAGATATTTCCCTTAGTAATGTTTTGTACAAATTACTTTTCTAAAACGGAGCAAAAGTAACGTGCACATATTGAATCGGACGTGATTCGAACACGCAACCTTTTGATCTGGAGTCAGACGTGCTACCGTTGCGCCACCGAAGCTTGGATGCTTCCGACATTCTGCGATTTAGTGCGAAATTGCTAAGGGAGATAAAAATTGAAGGTAAATAAACAAGTACCAGTTCTTTTTATCACCATTGTATCTTTTAAAAACGCAGAATATGTAGAAAATTTATAAATGAAACGCACCTGTTTTTCACAAGCTTCCACTTCTGGAATGTAAGGATTTTTTGTATTAGAAATACTGAAGCAACATATCGTTATTGCAGATGAAATTCGTGAATTTCGTTTTCAGACAAATGACGAGGATGGAACCTAGCCTTGACTTTTGAATCATAAAAATTTTTCTCATTTGTCAATTTTGAGCTTAGACAAATTTAACGTAATTCAATACACCGCAAGCAAATTTCTTAATGGAACCCTACTGAAACGCGGACTACTGGAGAAAAACAAAAAAAATGGAAGTTTAGAAAATTATTGCTTCAGAAATAGAGTAAATTCATATTGTTTCTTAAGACGGAAGGAGAAAATAAAAGAAACCAATAAAACATTTTTTGACCCGGACGTGATTTGAACACGCAACCTTCTGATCTGGAGTCAGACGCGCTACAGTTGCGCCACCGAGTTACACGCACTTGTTTGCTGTAGAAAACAGTATATTATGCAAAGTTATTGTAAAAATGAAATTTTTACAGAACAGAAAATAACTAAAACAGAGAAACAGTGTTTATGAGTATATGTTGTCGATTATGTGTAAGGAGTAGAATCCATAAAGATACTATTTTAACTCACACAACGTAAGAAATGCTGGAGGAAAAAAGAAGCAGAGAAAACTTGCTTCGTCGTGTAAATGTCGATTAATTTATTAAAACGCTCCCTTAATACTTACAACGGAATAAAAGAAATCCACATGAACGCCACCAAGTTCAAACATTATGAGTATCCAAGTTTTACGCGTTTGTTTCCCGGACTGTGTTATTCAAGGAGCGATCCGTAAAAGTCAATATGGAGTCAGTTGTTCACGAGGGTTTCAGGGATATTTTCGAAAAACGTTTTTATTGTGAGCTGTCTAATTCCTCCAGTCTAAGCATGTCCCACCTTATCCATCATTCCACAAAAAATTGTTTCTATTAATGCTCAGTCCACACGTTCAAAGCCACATGCATAGAAGGTTTCTTATGCTCTTACACAGTGACGGACTCAGCAAACTTAGGTCGATGGGGAATTCTTAAAAAACTATTAGAAATATATATTACACTCTTGTTTGATTTTTCTCGAGTAATACTTGTTGCATTCTTGCATGGATACTCTCATGTTCAGGGAGATATAAAAAGCACCTCACTTAATTCTTGATATTTTCTACAACTTAGAACACAAGACTTAAGAATATAACAAAGTGAACTATATATATATATATATATATTTCACATTTGGAGGTGGTCCAATCGGACCATTTGCAGATTTGGATTCAAAGACGATAATATATAGCATTTGCGATGCGAAATATGTCACATTAATGCAACTGAATAATTACTAAGGCAAATGGAAAAAATCCGATTAAACCGATTAAGCTGAAGAATTCTTTATATCTCAAGTTTTACATTTTTTTTACATTTATGTATTTTTAAAATAAAAAAAAGGATTTTTTCCTTGAATTTGTTATGCTGTAAAAAATCTATTGATACCATTCACAAAATTGAGTTGTATAAAAAGACAGATCTACAAGTACTATATCGTTATAAATATCACAGCTCTGCAACATAATTTTTTTTAAGCTTGTGAGAAGTGTGAAAATTAGAGACTGAGTGAGTGAATTTTAACGCCACTCTGTTCAGCTTCACGAGGTCTTTCGCGCCGGACTGCGTTATTTTGAGCCATGGTCAAGTGATGATGACGATACCTGACCTGGCAACCCTGTCTCCTAGCTACTACCCCACACCAACGGAAGAATGTCTTAGCTCTCCACAGGTTAAACGTGCGTCGCTGCCTTATACGGCGGGTCTTCAGTGGCACTAGGCTGGATCCCATGACACGCCGGCCATGACTTCCTTTCTTTGTCCACTAGGGTACTGCGGTCACTGTTAGAGACTGAGAAAATCAAGTTTAAAGATTAAATTTTAATTTTTTGAATTAAAATAATTTTTTTACACTTAAAATATACCACTTGTATAAATTGGACCTTCTTTTTCCATAAAAGATTCGTAGAAAATTCTTTTTTTTTTATTCTAAGAGTCTTATGAGTCTCTTTTGAGTGGAAGATTTATACTTAAATTCTTTTTTTTAAGTATTGTAGCCTGAAAAGCAGAAAAACATTCTAAATTAAATCTTAGAAGTTTCATAATATCTAGGCTATTGTGTGTGGCTATCTCATATGCCATCTTCATTATTGTTTCTTTTTTACACTACTATCAATTTTTGTTTGGAAGATTCTAATGCATGTGTTCTTGATCAGTACTTTTCAATAATAAAATTGAAAGATTCTTTTTAGCTTTTAACTTTTCTATCGAATAACTTGTTTAATGATTTGGGTGAAGGCAATTGTGTACCTTTTTTGCTTTATAATTTATTGAATGATAAAAACTCATTATATCCTTCATCAGATAAAAAATTAGTTGCAATTTCCAAATCTGAACAGAGTCTGGAGAATAAAGTGGCAAATCTGGTGTCGTCCTCATCACTTGCTCGTGATTTAAAATTATGGGATCTTCGCCAATAGCCCCCATGTTGCTTCGAAATGCGATGTTAATAAAATAAATAACCAATCAACGAAATACAATCAGAAATCAACGAAAAATGTGTTTACTTATATCTTTTTAAAGGACAAGTCTTTGTTGTGTGATATTCACATTTTTATTGCTCAGAGAGTAATTATTGTCGGATTTTGATGCGGTTAGCTTTAAAACGTTCCTACTATTCCACATGAATTTTATTATTTTTGGAAAATGCTTCTGGAAACTTGATTTTTCAAACATCTAAAGGTACTTTGCACGCAGAAGGGATATGAAAAGTGAAACAC